GAGGGAGCTGGGGGTGTTCAGCCTGGAGAAGAGGAGGCTCAGGGAGACCTTATCGCTCCCTACAACTCCCTGACAGGAGGTACAGAGGCAGGGGTTGGTCTCTTCTCCCAAAGGAGAAGTGATGCGACAACAGGAAAGGCCTCGAGTTGTGGTGATCCATATATTAACCAGCACTGGAGTCTGGCAATCCAGCTTGCACTCCAGTGCCTGTTGGAAGGACTTTCGTCACCTAAATCATCCCAAATGTCACCATTTAAAGTGAGACTCTACCCCTCCCCTCCCCACACGGCTCCCCACGCAGCTCAGGGCACAGCCCTTCCATCCAGCAGCTCCACCAAAGAGCATGTCTAGAATGGGCTTACAACAACGTGGAAGGAGTAACTTCTAGAAGATGGAAATGTGCTACAACATCACCGGCACAGAATTTTCCAAAATTTGCCATAGACTGGCAAAATGAAGCATGACTCTCAGTCATGACAACAGAAAGTCATTCTAAATGTCCATTTTCTAGAAAAAAGCCTCTTTTTGTGCCCATCACACTCAAAGAATTGACACATATCTCAGGCTAGAGGTGGCCTGTATCTAAGAGGCAGTTTTACCAACCCTCTCCATACACACATCTCAGTTTTGGGGTTAGAGGTGGCCTGTATCTCAGAGGCAGTTTTACCAACCCTCTCCAGGTTATGCAGAAAGCATCTTCATCTCCTCTACTCAGCATGCACACTGCCAGCCAACTCCAGCTCATTAACATCACAGGGGGCTATCAGATATTACTTATTTATGGCTAACTTGGATTCAGCTGTAATTATGAAATGCACCCTACAGCATTAAGAATGCCAGCGTTTCAACAGTTTCCAAAAGCGGAGGTGAATCATGCTGTTCTAACACACTGATTATTTATCGAATTATAGCGACCGTAAAATAAAATTCTAGGAGAGGACCTTGGCAGTAGTTACAGTTAAAGAATCGAAGATTGTTTAATGCGTTATAAACGCTTGGTTGGAAAACACCAACAAACTGTCCTTTCCCAAATACACACGTCCTTACTCCTCTGGCATGTAAGGAAGTTCACTACTATTACACCATTCCTTTCAAGGAGATCCATAGGACAGCAGAAAGGGAAAAATCACTGCTATCGATCTTCGATCTGCCTAATTTTTGGACAGGTATTATCAGCTGCATGTGCCCATGGAGATACAGGATGCACATGTCTTCTGCTTCAAACTGTGGTTCTCTTCCAGCAATGGGAATGGGGAAATAACTCATACTGAGGAGTTTCAAACCCATAGGCGGGCAGGTCTGGGTCTGTAAAGAACCGATGGGTAGTGTTTAAGGTACAGATTGATTAAGTGTCATTAAAAAGGAACTGAGAAACCGACTGCTTCCCTACTAGCTCTCCGCATAAGTAATTACCCTGACACAAAGATTTTCAGGGAAGACCTTGACTGTGATGGATTCAGCAGAACAAATGCTTAAGTCTGATCCAGGAGTAAACGCTTACTCCGTGTCAATGGAAGCGAGGTGGGTGTTCAGGGCTGGTGTTTACCTGGGACTGTACTAAAGCACACTCCACTCTGTAAAAGTTACATACGAAAAAAATGGTATAAACCACTTGTCTGAAGGACCCATCTGGAGCTCTTTGCTTTAATTAAATTTACCATGGAATCTAAAGCAAGATATTATTCCCACTGCTCATTTTAGAATTGGCATAATATTGCCTACTTTAAAACCAGTTGTAAGATCTGGAGTACTGTTCCACGTATATCCCTCCTGAGGGAGTTCTCCTTATTGATCAAGTTTTGGTTTGTATCTGTGGAGCATTAACATGTCCTAAAATAGAGACTAGCACATTAGGTTTTGAATCTACAGGAGATGGCCTGCTGTCTTCAGCAGACATTTCACCTCCTTGTTAGGGTGTTACTTTTTGGGGGATGGAAGAGGAAACAGGTACAGAAATCGCTTCTGTTGGTTCCAGGTCCTAGGGAATCATCACCTTGCTTCCCACCAAGACATGAACTTTAGCCACTGTTCATGAAGGGCAGAAGGGTATTTGGCTTCAATTGTACCGAAACATACATTTGTATTTAACTTGACATATTTCCAGAGTTCAGTTTAAAATCAAAAGGTGCTACCTAAAGAGTTTGAAATCAGTCTACACTTAGCTCTTTACAAAATCATTTCCTTAACTTATGATTTGTCTCTGACAATGTGAATATACGCAATTTCTCTAAGTCATACATTACTCACATGGTGTGGTAAGTCAAAAGACACCTTCTTTACCACTTTAACAATAGCTTCTCCATTTCATAACGCCTCCACCCCCTCCTCTAACCTCCTTT